TAGTAGTAGTAGTAGTCGTAGTAGTCGTAGTAGTAGTAGTAGTAGTAGTAGTAGTAGTAGTAGTAGTAGTAGTAGTAGTAGTAGTAGGTGGTGGTGGTGGTGGTGGTGGTGGTGGTGGTGGTGGTGGTGGTGGTGGTGGTGGTCGTAGTAGTAATAGTAGTAGTAGTAGTAGTAGTAGTAGTAGTAGTAGTAGTAGTAGTAGTAGTAGTAGTAGTAATAGTAGTAGTAGTAGTAGTAGTAGTAGTAGTAGTAGTAGTAGTACGCGCGTACGTACGTACTAGTAGTAATTGTAATCGGATGGATGAGCAGGAGGAGGAGGAGGCGGAGGGGGAGGTAGAGGAGGAGTATTATGCGCAGTACAAAAGGAAGTCCTCCCCCTCCTCCTCCGACTCCAGGAGCGCTCCCACGCGCTCAAGAGGCGCCCCTAAGCGCTCCAGAGGCGCCCCCAAACGCTCCAGAGGCGCTCCCAAGCGCTCCAGAAACGCTCACAAGCGCTCCAGAAACGCTCACAAGCGCTCCAGAGGCCGCGCGGAGAGGCTGGTAGTAAGTTCGCAGGAGGTCTTCGACAAACTTCAAAAGTTTCATAAGAGTTGTGTAATTGGGGAAGAACCCAGTGTACCGGGAACTACCCCAGCTTACCGGGAAAAGTAATTGGTTTTCGTACGACAGGGAGGATTTGCTCATGAGGAAAAAGGAAAGGAGGAGGAGGGGGAGGAGGAGGAGGAGGAGGAGGAGGAGGAGGATGAACAGGACGACGACGACGAGGGGAATGAGGAGGGGGGCAACCAGCAGCAGCTTATGATCGTTGGACCCTGGTGCCGCGCTGAATCCTCCCGGTGGCAGTCTGTCTGTTTCATCCCGCGCCCGTACCCCCACGGGGTGCTTGAGGGGCCCGCGATCGATGCCCCTTGCAGTGGCAAGAGCATGTGGCACATTTCCGAATACCGTGGGGGCGCCCATCAAGAAACCATATGTTTTTCGTTAATTGGGGTATCATGGATTTCTTCGCTCCTCGCGCTGCGCGGTGACTTCCCGCAGCCGTTGAAGGAGCTGCTGCGCTGGGTGCTCCAGGTTTCCCCTCAGGTACACCTCTCGCACGGGACCTCAGGGTTGGGTTTCTTGCGAGGGTTTCTTGCGGCCGTGCCCCCCACTGTATGCCCAGCATGGGTCGTGATACGGTCAGGGGCGTCTGCTCGGCGCGTCGTGGTGCCAGTTCTGGCCCGCCGCGCGTCTGCGCAGCACGCGTTAACCACTTCCCAATTCACTGGCGTAAGCGCCTCCCCAAGCCGTTCCCAGCCTCTTCGCCCCGCGGAGCGGAGCGACACGCCATCCACTTGCAAGGCTTACGTCGGGCCTGTCCCTCCACAGGAGGAAGATTCGAAAATAGTCCAAACATAGTCAGGGGACGATTTTTTTTAATTCCATTTTTCGATAATTTGGGGTGTATGTTCTGACCATCTTTTATTTGTCGTCCAACATCCCCCTATCGGAGGACAAGCCCGTCTTAACGCTAGCGCCAACGCCGCCCCAAGCCGTTCCCAGCCTCTTCGCCCCGCGGAGCGGAGCGACACGCGATCCACTTGCAAGGCAACAGCGCGTCGCCGGGACCGCCGCCGCGGCTCGCGGGGCGAAAGCTGCCGACGGCAAGGCTGGAGGCAGGCAGAGCTTGCACCCGCGCTATCAGTCGTGCGGGCACTCGGGCCCTACCTCACCACCCACCAAACCACCCCAACCCAACCCGAAGGCTCAGATTTACCCTCGATTTCCAGTGGGGGGGGGTCGGGAAACATCGAAAAAACACATGTGGAACCCTTGCCCCCCCCAACCCGAAATTCGGGTCTTCGGGTTGGGTTGGGGTGGTCTGGTAGGTGGGCCCTACCTGAAAGAGACTGTGTGTGCCTGTCGCTTGCAGCAAGTGCGAAGCGTGGGCCACGTTGCACAGAGCCCAGAAACCCAAGAATCGCAGGCCTAGAGGTTGACACCAACACCAAGATCGGCGGTGTTCCTCCACCGAGGGAAGACGATCCCGATCTCGGTGATGGTGGTAATGTTCTGGCTTCCAAGGTGGCCGAAATATTACCACCAGCACCGAAATCTAGGATCATCATCTCCCTGAGGAGGCAAACCCCTGTGTTGGTGTTGGTGCCCATTTCCAGGCCTCCTAAGAGACCGTGTATGCCCTGTCGCTTGCAGCAAGTGCGAAGCGTGGGCCACGTTGCGCAAAGCCCAGGAACCCAAGAACGGCAAGGGCAGGCGTCAGGCGTCGTGCGGCAGCGGAGGGCGGTCCGCACAGTTGTTGTGTCTTTCTCTCCCCGTCGCCCTGGAGCCCGAGGGGTTCCTTCACGACGCAGTGCAGAGGCCAGGGTGGCAGCTCTCGAGAGGGCCCCATTCGACACCGACGATCAAGCAGTCGAGTCAATCCTCGCAGAGACGGGGGGGGAGGTGGCCCAGGGGGGGGGGCGAGCCTTCTCGGAAGACTCCGGAGCTTCTCACGAGCCCTTTCGAGGCTCCGAACGACTGGATCACCCGAAGGGACGCGACGATAAGATCGCGCTTCCCGCATCGCAGCGTTTGCTGGAGAGGCGCTCCCTCCAGGGCGCGAGGGCGCGAGGGAGCGGTGCGCGAAGTCAGGAGGAGGGAGGAGGAGGAGGAGGAGGAGGAGGAGGAGGAGGAGGAGGAGGAGGAGGAGGAGGAGGAGAGGAGGAGAGGAGGAGGAGGAGGAAGAGGAGGAGGAGGAGGAGCAAGAGGAAGAGGAGGAGGAGGAGGAGGAGGAGGAGGAGGAGGAGGAGGAGGAGGAGGACCGGGAGAGGGCTCAGAACGAGCTTCTCCGAGGGGCCGAGGCCCTCTGACGCCTTCTGAGGAGGCCCGCCCCCCAGAGATCCAACGCACTGAAAAACCGAGACGGAGGTTTTTCTCACCTGTGGGCCTCTGTGGGGGCCCTCTCCGGGCCCGGGGACCGTCAACAGAACGACTCAGGACGAAAAGCCGGTCCCGGGGAGCGGGTCGAGACTTCGGGGGACCGCGCATTGCAGAAAGCACGACGTCGGATCTTTGGGCCCGTCCCCGTCTGCCCTGCCCCCCCGGGGGCGCCGCCGCTTCCTGATGCTCCGGGTGCCGCGCCCTGGGCGCAGGGCCGCGCACCCCGCGCCAGGCGGCGGCTCCGAGCAGCCTGGCGGCGACGCCGAGCCGCCCGAGGCGGACGGCGACGAGCTGGAGGCGATGCTCGAGGAGCAGCGCGAGCCCGGGCTCGGCACGGGCCCCGTCCGCGCCGGGGGGTGCCTCAACCGGGGGAGCCTGGCGACTCCCTTTTTTTTTTTAGCTGGGTGGCTTCGCCCAATTTCGGGCCCTGTGACCCTCACAGATCGAGCCGGCTCTAAACATGACGCAGACAGGTAGGGTCTATAGGGCTCCAGGTCCGATTCTTCACGGCGTCTCCATTTTTGTTGAGAAGTCGGATCCCAGGGAAGGAGGAGTGCACACCGATGCCGCTGCTTCCCCAGGGAGGGGCCCTCGGCGCCGAGGTGGGATTCTCCGCGTGGTGCTGGTCCGAGCGCACGCCCCTGCAGTATCGTTGAGGGCGCCCAAGAGGGGGGGGGATGACTAGGGTTGAGTCGGGCCTGTCCCTCTACAGGAGGATTATTCAAAAGTAGTGAAAGAAAACTCTGGGGATCTTTTACAAGTATGTTTGTTGACAATTTTTGAGTATGTTTTGACCATCTTTTATGTGTCGTCCAAAATTTGCCTGTAGGGGGACATGCCCCACCTAAGACTAGAGGTGTGGGTGCATGTCATGGCCAGGGCCATGTGGGGCGTTCCAGAAAAGGCCTTCCCCTCGAGGATCGAAGGAGCTGCCATCTCTTCCTCGGCGGAAGTTCGGCGGAAGTAAAAAACCGGCTGCCTCCACCGGCGGAAGGCTGGCAGAAGGCGGCGGAAGTAAAGAGTTGCCCTCGAAGAAATGACAGCCTTTTTGGATTCAGAGTTTCCGGAATCCGGCAGATGTTCTCTCCGACGTCATGGCCCCTCTTCTTGTGACATGTTCGCTGCCCCCCCCCGTAGTCCGCGCACCTGCCCCGGGCCACGATTTGCCGACCCCCCTCTTGGACGCCCCCCTCTGGTCGCACCCGATCTCGGAACCTTGCTGTTTCTCGAAGCCATGTCCACCTGTTTGGAGACGTGCCCCCCCCAAGGACTAAGTCGGGCCTGTCCCTCTCCAGGGGGGATATTCAAAAATAGTCAAAAATAGTCGGGGGACTATTTTTCGATTATTTCTTAGCATTTTTGGTGCGTGTGTTGACCATGTTTTAATTTCTCGTCCAAAATCCGCCTGTAGGGGGACGTACGCCAAAATCTCGCGGAGCGCTGGCTATGGACAGCTCCCTGCCCCCCGACGGCGGGAGGCCTCTGCATCCGCGCGGAGCGCACGCGTGAGGAGATGGACGAGCCCAGCCCTCCCAGACCCACGAGGTACGGCAGGCTCGCGCCGCGTCGGCCGGCAGCGACCCTGCCGCCGGAGTTCCGTACGGAACGCCGCCGGCGAGCCGGCATCGGTCGATTTTGAGCGGTCCGACGTTGCGGAAGCGGCCGATCGTCTAAGGTCGAGCGACCCCATGCCGTGTCAGAAAAGCCAGCGCCGAAGTCGGCACGGCGCGAGCCTGCCTATACGGGGCTCGAGGGAGAGCAGTGGGGCTGGCCGTCAAGCATCCGGGGTCCGGGGCGAGAGCCTGTCCAGGATGGGCCCCGGAGGGGTCGCAGGACTTGCTCTGGGCGGACTTCACCGCAGCATCCCTAACGCGGGTCTGAACAGGCTGCTCGAGATGCACTCTGGGCTTCACTCTACGCTGGACGCCAATGGAGGAGGAGGAGGAGGAGGAGGAGGAGGAGGAGGAGGAGGAGGAGGGGCCCTTCCCACGGTCTCTCGAGGCCCTCTTCGGGCACGAGGGCACGAGGGAGCGGTGCGCGAAGTCAGGAGGAGGAGGAGGAGGAGGAGGAGGAGGAGGAGGAGGAGGGAGAGGAAGAGGAAGAGGAGGAGGAGGAGGAGGAGGAGGAGGAGGAGGAGGAGGAGGAGGAGGGGCCCTTCCCACGGTCTCTCGAGGCCCTCTTCGGGGCGCGCGCGGCTGCGGGCCAGCGGCCGCCCCAGCGCGGCTCGAGCGAGACTCGCGCGCGCGCGCGGGCGTTCGGCTTCCGGCCCGCTTTTTGCCGCCAGCGTACCGGTTGGGAGAGCGCGCGTACCGTTAACCCGAGTAAGCGATTAAGGACCCCCCCCCCCCCCTCTCCGGTGAAAGGATAACGCACCCGGCACCCGGAAGCGTTATCCTGGCACCAGGAGGGGGTACACCAGATCGCATTCGTATTCTTATTATCATTACAATTCTAATTGGGATGCCACCCGAGGCGGGGCGCTGGAATTATTTATTTTCCTTCCATTTGCGCGGTGCTAATAATATCGCTCGGCGAAAACCCCCAAATAATTATTTAATTACGGCGCGGTGCTAATGATAACGCCGGGGGGTTCCTTAATTGCTTCTCCGGGTTAATTCGGGCCTGTCCTTCTACAGGAGGAATATACAAAAGCAGTCAAAAAGCGCAGTCTGGGGATGATTTCTGTATTCTTTTTGATGATTTGGGAGTATGTACTCAAACTATTTTGAATTTGTCCTTCAAAATCTGCCTGTAGGGGACATGCCCGACCTAAGCATACCACGGTGCCGTGGGCTGTCTGGGAAGGCCGATGCCGCATGGCGCCGGCGGCCCAGAGCCTCGAGTGGCTCCAGCTTTCTTTGCTCCTGCACGCCTGGCACGCTCAAGAGCCTCACGCTCTGAACTCGCTCTTCTTCCCCTCCGCGCGCCTCTTCTCCGCCTTCGCCTGCTGTGCCCACTTCGGCCCCGTGGCATCCCACGGCTGCCCCCGAACGCGGTGATGACTCGCCGCTGCTACAAAAAAGTGGCTCGGGTATTCTGCGGCCGCGTGACCCTCCTGCACTGATCGTGCAATGCCTTGCCGCTGCTCGCTTAGGCCCAGCTGCGCAGCATCCGAGGCGGTAGAGGATGGCCGCCAGAGGGACTGGGCAAGAGTGCCGGCAAGCATCAGCCCCTGCCCCCGGAGGGGCCCGGTGTAACTATCAACACAACGTCTTTCGGTCGGCGAGGGAGCCAAGGAGTTCGGCGAGGGGAGTCGATGTAATTCATGACGCTCCAGCGACCCACAGGTTGGACATCTGGCCGGGCTCCCTGGCCGACCAAGCGGCGTGGTGTACACATCGAGCCCCTCCCATGCCCGCCCCGCCAAGAACGTTGTCCCAGAGCAGACCCCATTCGGAGCGGAGCCGCCGGTGCGAGCCGATGGGTATGGGCTCTAAGCAGTGGCGAAGCGTCCTGGCGAGCCTATAGGCCTACCAAACGATGTTCTAAGAACCTTGTGTGGTTCCCACCAAATGTTCTTAGAACATTTTGAGCTGGGAGCATCTTGCTTTAACACATCGGGTTTATGTTCTAGGATCATTGTTTGTGCTCTTAGAGCATGTTCGGGTTCTAAGAACATGTCGTGGTAGGCCTACAGGAATACCGGGACGGTCGATCCCTGCGCAAGGGCTGGGTGCGCTGTGTCTTCCCCTCGGGCGTTCTCGCTCAACTCTGGCAGACAGAACGTCGCCCTGCAGAGCAACCCCTCGGAGCCAGACGGGCCGCCGCTCATCTCAAAGAAAAACACACTGCATAAACGAAACCCATTCGACGGTCCGCGCGGACCGTCGGATGTTTCTGTTTACGCAGTTTTTGGTGCATCTATCACCACGGAGTTCTCCATCGGAGCCAAACGAGCCTCCGCTCACCATCACTCGCCTGCTTCTGCCCGCGACCCACCGCGGACCCAGCGGCCCCGAAGCCTTTCTGCGTGGAGTTTTGCAGTTTGCCTGCAGCTTCGCAAACCAGGCGCCGCGGGCTGCTGGTGCAGGACGAGCTGCCGCGAGACTTGGTTCTGCAACGTGCAGGGCGGTCGTTCTTCTTGGGGGGGGGGTCAGGAATTACTTTTCAGAGGAGCAAGAGGTTATGATAGTGATACGTTGCAGTATTTCCAAGGTTTCCTGGATTCTCCAGACCCCCAGATGTTTTACACGGGCTTCGTCCGCTGGATACCTTGGAAGTCCCGACATGCATCCTGACCCAATCCTACCATGACTCGTTATCGTCTGAGCTTACCCCCACATGTTGTGCTCCCTGACAGCCTTCACTCCGGGCAGGAGCCTCCTGCCCCCCCTTTCGTGTTCCATTGCATCTTTCACTCCCAGATTCTGCCCCCCCTGCTGCCTCTCGTCGTTCGCCCTCCCGCTGTCTGCGCCCTCGTCCTGTCCGTCCGTCTGCCAGCGAAACGCTCCTTTGGACTGCTCATACGGTGGGGGCGTTGGTTGGGGAATGTGCCCAGGAGGCCTCGGATCCCTGGCGTCAGGAGCCTGATGAGGGCAACAGTGATATCCATGGCCACTCCACGATTGAAGTTCCGTCGGCTTCCAGACCCTGGATTCCTTCCGATGGTTCTCTACCCAATGCCCTCACCGTATTGGCACGCGCAAGAAGAATGAGCAGGCCGACGCATGGACCAGAGACAGCGAGAGGTGTCGAGGCAAGGGAGGTGCAGGCGACTGGAGAGGGCAGAGAAACTAGTTGGCCCATACCACCGAGCAAGCCGCGTCAGGGCTCTCCCACGTTTCGTCGCGTCACCTCTTCGCCAGGTGCCTCAGAGCAGGGGTGGGTACTGGACAGCTCAACACGGGTCTGTCCAGTCTGAGGTCCAGACGTGAATATTTACCTTCTCATCGCTTCAGTTGCATGTGGGATCTCGGAATGTTGACCACGGAAGGAAGAAGGGCACCACGTCCATTTTCGGGCTTGGTGGTGGGAGACGAGGGCGCTTCGGTGCATGTACCCATCGGTCGCTGAAAGTGTGAATGCGGGGACAACCAGATCCCAATCTACTTTAGGCGCCTCCCGAATGAAAGAGCCGAGCGGTTTCCCTCATCTCTCCTCCTTAAGAAGTGGATGGGCGGACAATTCGTAGAATTGTCTACCAATGTCTTTCGACCGATGGGTACGTATGTGCCCCTGTTAGCTTCGTGTCAGCGTGAATCGATTCGTGTTAGGTTGAATCGAATCGTTGGACGACGTTGCTGCGTTCGACAGCAGTGCTTTGCGGTATTCTTCTCATTCGTTTGTTCGGAGGATGGTCAGAAGTGGACCATCTTCGAAGACGTCGACGACGAGGCGCACGCAAACCCCATCTGCATTGAGAGCCATCACTCCGCAGTAAAGTGTATTTTTCTTCAGAGGAGGCACAGATATCGACACCGCTATCCGTCCCTCGTCGCAACGGCCGGATTCGACTTGGAAGTCTGGCCAGAGTACCCCCGGATAGGTGCAGGGCGTAGCGGTATCATGGTTTTCCCATAAGGTGAACGAGCCGGCAGCGTAAGCACTAACATCGAGTGCCATTGAAGCTTTTGGGATCTGCACATGCCTGGGCTGCGTGCGCGTTGCGCCTTCCATTTGCCACGTCTACTGAGGCTTCAGAGATCGTGCTGTATCGGAGCGCGTGAGTCCAGGACCTTGAAACTGAAAGCCAGAGAGCATCGTGTATCTACGAGTTGCCCGCTGATGATATTCTCTTCTCCCTTTTGCCCTTCCTCGACGATGGAATGCACCGAGGATGTTGAGGGAAGGCAGGGGGGTGTGTGACAGCGGGTAGCCAGTCGACTAGCCAGATATGCAAAGAAAGCATTGAGAGGACCAAGATGATGAAGTGTGAGAAGGACGATGAAGTCCAGGAGGAGAAGGAGAAAGCCAACACGCGTTTGATTCTAGGCTTGATGTTCTCCATTGTCTCGTCCAACTGGCATCCCCCCTCATCCGATTACTTACCTTGGCATCTTCGTAGTGAAGATTCGGCAGCCCCTAGCTCCTGGCGGCAGAGCGGCTTTGATGTGTCACGGTTGGCTCGGCCGTTCATTGTTTGTGAAGTGTTGCCGTTTTCGTCACATACCGTATCAAGATACATATACCGGTCTAGGGGGGCTTTGAGGGCTCCAAGCGGGCCCAGAAGGGGCCACGGACCCCCCCCAGAGGCCCCCAAGCTGGCCCAAGAGTCCCCCAAAGCGTCCCAGGTTGTCTGGAAGATGGCTGAAGAGCGCACTGAGATGGCCTCAATGCGGCCCACGAGCGCTCGAAGACAGCCCAAGACTGCTCCTAGACGGCCACGAAGCGCATCAAAACGGTCCACGAGGCCGCCGAGAAGGCCCTCAAAGGGCGAAAATCAAGCATGTCCCATCCAAAAAAAGAAATTTCCGGGATATTCGTTTTTTTCAGTCCTAACAGCGGCCACGACGGCCCCAAAGGTTCCCAAAATCCAAATGGGCCCCAGTCGGCCCAAGAGGCCCCCAAGAGGGCCCCAAGACAGCTTGAAGAGAGCTTCAAGCAGCACAAGAAAGCCCCAAGACAACCCGAAGAGAGTTCCCAGGGGGCCCGAGGGGGCCACCGGAGGATCCCTACATTGTCGGAGAGGGCCCCAAGAGGGCCCCCAGACGGGCTCAGCTCCCTCATGATGGGCCAAGAGGGACCTGGGACGGCCGAAATGGGCCCCCAGACTGGACAAAAATGGCCCAACAGGAGTCCCTTACGACGGTCCAAGAGGCCGCCGAGAAGGCCCCCCAAGGGCAAGAATCAAGCAATTCCGATTGGAACGCGTATATGTTTTTCGTGATGATCTTCCATTTTTCAATCCTCACAGCGGCCACGACGGCCCCAAAGGCTCCCCAAGTCTGCCCCAGACGGCCCAAGAGGCCCCCAAGAGGGCCCCAAGATTGCCTGAAGAGAGCTTCAAGCAGCACGAGAGAGCTCCAAGACGGCCCAAGAGAGTCCCCAGGGGGTCCGTAGCCATTTTGGCTCAAGCCTGTTTGACTCAAGATCCTCAAGGGCTCAAGTTCGAGCTGTCTCCGCCAGGCGCGCGGCCCCGCGGCCAACATCGCGAGTCCAAGCCCCATGACCACCAAGATCCTCTTGCCCTGCCTGCTCCTCGGCCTCGCGGAGGCTACCGCCTTCCCATCGTGCGATGCGACGACAACAGAGCCTTTCTTCGAAGAAACGACGACTGAAGAGTCGGCGCCGGACATCCTCTTGGAGCTCCAAGTTCAGGGCCAGAGCGGCAAGTTCACTCTCGTGCCGAAGGGCTCGTCGGGGGCTTCCGTGGGCATCCGCGTGACGATGGACGCGCTGAGGGAGGTGGACGCAGATGGCGAAGAAGTGGGTACGTCTGGGGCTGTGAAGCATTCGATCCAAACTTTTGCAAGCCAGGACTTCACGGTGGGCGATATGGAGACCGTCCGCATCGGCTCTGGAGTTTCTGCCGCCAAGGTGTCGTTCGACTCAACCATCTCGGAGATCGGACGAATCGGCGTCGACACCTATGTCATGGCCCAGTCGGGAACGGTGGGGATGTCCAACGAGTCGTGGCAGGTCAGCATCGGAGACTTGAAGTGGAATATCCGCCTCTGGGACTGGACCTGGTGCGACGGCTCCAACTGCAAGAAGGGCCAGACCGAGCAGGTCGGCGCGTTCGTCGAGCTCGACATCACGGTGCAGAATTTGGGGGGTGGGAGCGCCAACCAGGGCAGCGGGAAGTCCGTGTCTTTGGGCAGCAACGCGACGCTCGAGCTGTCGACGCAGGTGCAGAGAGACTGCGCGTGGGAGCAGCTGCCGGTCGGGTTCCCTTCCATCGGTACCCAGGGCAGCCAGACCACCATCACTTTTCGCTTCCCGCGCTTCGAGACCTCCTGCCTGTACGATCCCGTCCTGTCTGGCGCAGCGGAAGAGATGGGTGTCGACGTCGGCTCCGACACGAATTACTTCTATTATTATTCCTACTACTACACAACCACCCCAGCCCCAGCGCCCGATGATAACGCGGTTAGCGCGGCCGCGCCGGCCGCGCTCGGCGCCGCTGCGCTCTGCTCCTTGAGCGCGGTGGCGGTGTGAGGCTAGAGTCGCCAGAGAGAGTCCTCGAACATTTCACGTTCAATGCCCCTATGCCTTCGGGTAGAAAATTTTGGGTAGGCGCGGCCCGTCTATCACGCGTGTGGAGGCAAGGACGAAGTTTTTGTTGGCTCCACCCCAAGACCAGAGGGGGCCTTTCCTCCTCAAGGCAATGGATGGGCGAGTAGAGTAACTTGAGCTATACTTGGCCGAGGGGTCAGGTGGCTCTAGTTCGGCCGTCACAGGCTGGTGCCCGTGTCTTTCACGAATCCGCGTTCGGCTGTTCAACACTCCCTTGCGTGACGGCAGGCGCTTCGCCTGCTGGCGTGACGGGGTTTTGTTTAGTGTGAAAGAGAGGTTTTCCTGGTGATGCCACCTCTCCATCGGGACCGCGCGCGCTCCGCCCGCCGGCGTGACAGCGCGCGCAGTTCACTGCAGGGTAGCGTGCTCGTCTGCTTCGCCTTGTTAGAGCAACAAAAAAAAAGAGAGTCCCCAGGGGGTCCGAGGGGGGCACAGGAGGATCCCTACACGGTCGGAGAGGGCCCCAAAGGGCCCCCAAACGGGCTCAGCTCCCCGTGCATGACCGGCCAAGAGGGACCCGGGACGGCCGAAATGGGCACCCAGACGGGCCAAGAATAGCCCAACTGGATTCCCTCAAGACGGTCCAAGAGGCCGCCGAGAAGGCCCCCGAAGGGCAATAATCAAGCAGTTCCGATTGGAAAGCGTACATTTCCGGGATGTTCCATTTCTCAATCCTAACAGATGCCACGACGGCCTCAAAGGCTCCCCAAATCGGTCCCAGACGGCCCAAGAGGCCCCAAAGAGGGCTCCAAGACAGCCTGAAGAGAGCTTCAAGCGACACAAAAGCGCTCCAAGACGGTCTAAGAGAGTCCCAGGGGGCCCGAGGGGGCCACCGGAGGATCCTACATCGCCGGAGAGGGCCCCAAGAGGGCCCCCAGACGGGCTCAGCTCCCCATGTCGGGCCAAGAGGGACCCACGCAGTACACATTCGCAGCGAGAGATGGGTTCGCCCTTCATTCCGTTGTAAACTTCAACGATGGCGTTTCTGATACCATGCTTGACTGTAGTCTCTTTCGCTGAAGTAGTGGCAGGACACCATGGGGGCCAGCCGTGTACAGCGTGCAGGGATGATGCTTTGGTCTTCGCGGGTCCACCATGGACACCTGCGTCGTGGGGGGGGGGGCAGACGGCCCACGAGGCACCCAGGACCGCCCGCCCGATGAGAGCGCAAACAGGGGCCCGGCGGGGGGAGCGCGAACCCACATTTCGAGGCCTCCGCCCTGGGAGGACCCCGACGATCGCCAGCAGGCCCCCAGGATGCCGTGGGAAAGCGTACTTTCCTATCGCAGTCGTTGCTTTCGTGTGCCCAGCATCCAAGACGGGCCCAAAGGCCCCTAAGGAGAGCCCCCAACAGCCGAAGAGTTCCCCCAGAGGGCCCCAAGACGGCCCAAGGGGGCCCCAAGACGACCCAAGTCAGGAGGGGAAAAAACACACATACACAAGTAATCGGCGATTCCCAGAAAATATGGGAAAATATGGGAAATGGTGGGGAAGACAAAAACCCAGAAAATATCAGGACATATGGGGAATATTTTTATTTGTGTGTATTTATTTGTGTGTTTGTGGGCCTCTTCACCAAGAGGCACCCAGGACCGCCCGATAAGGCCCCAAGAGGGGCTCGTGGGGGGGGGGGGATGCGAACCCATATTTCGAGGCCTCGGCCCCAAGAGGACACCGAAGATCGCCAGCAGGCCCCGAGGGTCACCCCCCCCGAGAGGACCCAAGAGGGCCACAGGAGGCCCCGAACAGCGTCCCAAGAGGCTTCACCATTGTTTATAAGAGACTGCCCACAGGTTTCCCCAGAGACGCGAGCAGGCATTCGCCAAGTCTTACACAAACAACCCAAGCTCGGTGGCAGGATGTGCAGAATGCCACCAGGAGGGGCACACGTGGACGAGGGACACCGATCCCCTCCTCTTTGTGTAGTCTTCCTGCTTCTCGGTCTTAAGGACTCCACTTCTCCGTTTGTTTCTGCCCCTCCTTCCCGTTCTTCCCTCGTCCTCCTCGTCCTCGTCCTCGTCCTGCCTGGACTCTTCTCTTGCTCGACCTCCAAATCGTTCTCCCAACAGGCCAGGGCGTACGTGATGACCGCTCGGTCTGTGCACGCTCCCGGGCTGCTCGACGGACAGCGAAGCGGGACGAGTAGCTTGTTTTTTGTCCATCGGGGTGTAGGCCGCATTCTGTCGAGTTCTTCACTGCCGCAAACTGATATTTGGCGACGGTGCTTACTCAACATGCCCTGGGTGCGAAATGCTAGGATTGGTAACCTTTATCTTCGCGACGGCACCTTTGAGGTGAACCACACAGTGCCTTCGATGTGCCATCGAGATTCGGCAGGGGGGCTCACACCATAATCAATCGCCAGCGGAAACCTATATTTCACACTGTTTGATCTGGCGGCGACGGCGTAAACACTGCCCCACCAAGACAAACTAATCGAACTATAAGAAATTCTTTACGCTTCGCGTATCCCCACCAGCCCATCTCACAGCAGCAACTCTCGCGAAGCATGCCGACAGTCGTGTTTTTCAGGCGTGTGTCCGCTTGGCCCCGCATATCTCCCCTGTTCCTCCTCCCTCCCGCCTCCTTGTACATCCTCCTTTCTGGCGGCGACGGCGTAAACACTGCCCCACCAAGACAAACGAATCGAACTATAGGAAATTAGGGGTGCGGGCCCAATCGGTCCCCAAGATTGCAGGTGCGGAGGATCCCACGTCGGAGGAGAGGCCCGGACCTCCGAGGGCGTGTTTTTCAGAACGCGGACCCCTGGAGGTCTAGACCTTAGGCGATGCTTAAGAAAACTTAAGTTTTCGGCCAGAGCCTCGATTATTCTTAACGTTTCAATGTAAATCCTAAGATGTTAATGGAAATGTTGGGTTTTTATTCAAGTTCTGAGACTATGAATTTCTTAACCCATGATTTCTAAAACATTTCGCAAGGTGTAGACCGCTTCCCTTCGTCTCTTTGTCCTGCGCAGCATCTGTACGGTCCCACGACTTGGTGGAGGCACCCTGAGGCCGAACATAGCGATTGACTTCCCGTAGTGTTTTTTTGTCCACGATGCTGTACTGGATTTCCGCGGCTTCGGACCCCCTGTGTGTGTGACGTGGGTAGCCCTTGCTGGGCCTCCGCATGACACAAGCCCGCAATGCTTTTTGATACGACGCGGCGAGGTCGGGGAATGTAGGCGTCCGTGGAGGCCTCAGATGTTCCCCGCGGAGCCCATCAAGGGTGATCAACGTCCCCACACTCCGAGATCCGAACTCTCGATCAAAAGTGTAGCATCGTGAAACCAAGAAATTCTCGCGTCGTGAGTACGTCACGTCAGGATTTTATGCGCAATGTCTGGCCTCTGGGGAGCCTTATTGGGCTCAAGGACCATCAAACAAAGACTCAGGATGAAAAGGCGGTCCCCGGTAAAAGGGTCCAGTCAAGATTTCTGGGGAGCAGCGCTGTCAATCTAACATGAAGTCGCATGTCGTTAGGGAAATCTCGATTAGAGGCCTGTATCACACCTTTCTTCAGCACCCTGAACACCGTGACATTGCAAACCAGGTCTGCAGATCCCAGCTGGAGAACTCGTCGGAGAACGGCGGATAGATCGACCCATCTGCAGCATTTTCGGTTGAGCCCCAGTCCTGGCTTCGCAAAGTCCCCGTCTACGGGGCCCTGATTCCGACGACGATCCTGGGGGCGTCTCGGGACCGTCTCAGTTCGACTCTAGCTCGGCCCCTTCCCCAGCGACGGCCCTTCACTCGCGTGGCCACAGCTTTGAGTGGCAATTGCCAGCGCAGGGATGTCAGCCTCGTGGCAGCGTATTTTGTGTTTTGCCGACCTGCTCTCCTCCGATCATTTGGGCCTTGTCTTCTGCGGCATCTCTCGAGCCAGATCGATCCGCGAGGGCCCGGGGTCTCCTGGCGCAGGGAGAGGAGCGCCCCGTGTGCGAGGCAGACGGCGGCACCGAGTTCTCGGGCGGGCCCGGGACCAGGAGAGACCGTTCCAGAGCGTGCCGGAACGCTCGCGGAGCGTGCTCCAGAAGCGCGTCCCAGAGACGCTCACATCGTGACCAAGGCACACAGCCGCAAGTTTTTGGCCATTTGCAGCCTCCAGAGGCCTTCGGCGGGCCCTGGGGCCATCGACAAACGGCTCGGCATGAGAAACCGGCCCCGGGGATAATCAGAGCGTGAATTACCTCCCCCGCTTTCGCTTCCAGGCAAAACCAAGTCGTACCACGCGCCTCCTCGTCAAGCGGCCTGACCAGTACAGGCTGCAATTTGGCATCGTCTGGTATCTCTTGGAAGCGAGGGTGGTCAAAAGCGAGGGAGGTTTGTTTTCCCCCTAGATAAGGTCGGGACTTCTGGGTACCCCGCAGTGGAACAAAGACAAGACGTCGCACGTCCGGGGAGCGCTTTGGACCGGCCGCGGCGCCCGCCACAATTTTCAGCACCGCTGGAGCTCGAGGGTGCCCGATGCCCCCCCGGTCCGACCATGTCTCGGCCTTAGTTTTGACTTCAAGACATCACGGCTCCCTCGATCCTCGAGCCTTCGAGGAGGGGGGGGAGGAGGATGCGCCAGAGGTGCAGTACCTGCGGCGGCGCGCGGATGTGCTGCAGAAGGGCCTGGTCGCATCGCGGGCGGAGGTGGCGCATGCAGCGAGGGAGAGAGCACACGAGGAAGGAAGGGCTGGTCTGTACAGACTGTAGCGCCCAGCCCTTTCTTCCTCGTGCGCCTTGACTGTGGCCTACAGCCAAGGTTCTGAAATCAGGAGCATTTCGGTTTCGGAAGGGGCTCACCATTTCCAAGGTCCTTCCAGGGCAAGGGGTCCACTGGTTCCAAGGTCCTTCCTCGTGCACCCAGGCGAATCTGGGGCCAAGCGGGAGCTTCGCTCCTCATTTAGCGTTCCTGCTGGTAGTAGCTTTATCTTAAGGGCGCGTCATTAGGTATCGGAGAGCGCCAACTAAGACACTTGCACCAGTCCTGGCCAGGACGACCCCATCCTGGGCCCAGGATCGGTGTGCATGCACCCCCCCCTGCCGAGCCAGGAAGGGCGTCTGAATGTGATCCCGGCCCAGAAGGGGTTCGGCCAGGATCGGTGTGGGTGAGTAGGTCTGTGTCTTCGTGTGCGCGTTCAGACCGCCAAGGTTTGCAAACACGCAGCCCACGCCCCTGTTCCTCCTTCTCCTCCTCGCCCTCTTCCTCCCGGGGTCAGAACAGGGCAGCCTGCAGGTTCTGTTGCCGCTGCATGATGCTTGTGGGACGCGTGCGACCAGTCTCTCCCCAGGCCTTCGGGGGGATCCCATCCCCTCGCCCTGATCTACAGAGAGAGAGAGAGACACGATGTGCGTCGGGGCGCGTGAGGAAGACAGAGGTCGAGGGTCGGCCGACGACGTGAGCACCTGCTTGCGGAGAGCGATGCGGGCTTCTCTCCTGGGTCGGGGCGCGCATGCCCCTCCTCCACCGGGGGGTAGGCGCCCGCCTCGGCGCCCGGACGGGGGCCGGGGAGAGGGGGGCCGGGCGCCGGCCTCATTCACTGCAAGTCCGGCGTGTCCCTCTGCAGGGGGCACATCCCAAAAAATAGTCCAGAAATAGTCGGGGGACGATTTTCCTGCTATCCTGATCATCTTAGTTGTATTTTTGGGCTTCGTGTATTTCTCGTCCAGAATCCCCCTGTAGGAAGACAGGCCCGACCTAAAGTTCATGTTGACTTCATGCCATGGCCGCCCAGCTGGTATCGACCGGCCCGCCATCCCTGTTAGACAATACCATGCGCGCACAGTTGTGTTTCAGAAAGCGCTTCAGTTCTGAATAATCCCTTGCAGAAAACGGGGCGACGTGCTCATCATTGCGCGCGTCGTCCCACAGGCGTGGCAAGGGCGCCGAGCGCTGTGCAGAGTTGCGCGCGCGCCAATGCCCCGAGCAGCTGGCGCGCACTGTGCCGAAACCAGCATTTTCTTCGGAGCCTCGCGATACACCTTAGGCGATGCTTAAGAAAACTTAAGTTTTCGGCCAGAGTCTCGATTATTCTTAACGTTTCGATGTAAATCTTTCGATGTTAATAGAAATGTTCGGCTTTTATTCAAGTTCTGAGACTATGAATTTCTTAACCCATGATTTCTTAAGCACTTCGCAGGGTGTACAGTGCTTGTAGGGGTCGGCCTTCGGTCTTCGGTCTCCTGGTGATGGCGGGCTCCGGGAGGCCCCGAGCGGCGAGAGGTCACTTGGTCGTGAAGTCTGGCGACGGCCTCTTCCCCAGCGCTCAGTCCTCATCAGTGCGTGTGTGTGTATGGGCAGGTTTGCGTCGTGTCGACCAGCGGCGACCCCAGCGCGGGCGTTCAAGGTTGAACGCCGGCGGCGACCCAGAGTCGATCGATGTTGAACGATCGGACGTTGCGGCAGCGGCCGATCGTTCAAGGTTGAACGATCCCTGCGGTGTCAGAAACCAACGCCGGGGTCGGCACGACGCGAACCTCCCGTATGGGCATGCCTCTCGGCCGTCCCCCTCCCTCTTTGCTCGCCGGCCGATTCCCCAGCTGGTGTTCCTATGTGGCTTCTCGCCGGAGCGGATTTCGTCGCCTCGCCGCTGGCGAACAGAGTGTACATGTGCATGCGTGTGCTCATCGTGCCGTGGGCAGGGCAGCCCCGCAGCAACCGGCCAGCCACCGCGCCCCCCCCCGGGTTGCGGAAGCCTTTCGGCGCTGGCTGTCGCCAGACCGTTTCTCTTGCTCATGCTCCCCCTCCACTTTCTCCTGGTTCCCCCCCTCCTCCTCTTTCCCCTCCTCCTCTCTTCCTTTTCCGATTCGTCATCATATTCCTCCTCGTCCTCCTTTTCTGTCTCTCCCTCATCTTCCTCTTGTTTCTTCGCCTCCGACCCCCCCCCATTCCTTCCCTTTTTGAGCGCGTGCCGGAGAGCTCGACGCTCCCTTCCACGCTTGCCCAAAACATTGCGCAAGGTGGTGCCGTGAGTGCGTTGCGGGAAACATGTACCTCTTTTTGCCCTCCTACTGCCTTCCCTTGATTGTGCTCTTCCATCCGTCTCTTCCTTTCTTTTTCTCTCGAATCCCCCCCGCCATTCTCCTGGAGCGCGCTGTGGTTGGGAACCACAGGCGGATTTGGCCGCGGCGGCGGGGGCGCCGCCTCCTCGGGCACACGGAAGGGAGAGAAATGACGAGGCGGCCGAGATTTCTTCTCGTTGGCCCGTTGCCTGTAGCAATCTGTCTCGGCACCAGAGCCTGATGAGCACATGCAGTCATCCATCGGCGTGAGGCTGGAACCCGCTAAGGAAGCGAGGGTACAGGCAGTGTTACCCAAAGTGCTGCCCGAGCTAACAAAAAACCATTGCTGCGCGTGAGTGTTGCTACATTCCCGTCTGGTCTTGGAGCCGTCTGGGGGTCTGAGGTGGCCCAGCACTGGTTCCAGCCAGCAGGAAGAGCGGGCAGGTTCGAGGCTCTGGGGTTCGGGAAGGTTTTTGTTGTCTCTTTCTGCCTCCAGGGGGGGGGGGGATTTCGGATCCCAGGACGGTGAAAGAACGGAACAGGGAGGATAGCATTTTGCGCCCGATGAGCCGTGGGAGGGGTCCAGGTACAGATTTCGAGCGGATTTGGCTTTAACCTTTAAGTCGGGCCTGTCCCTCTAGAGGAGGAATATTCAAAAATAGTTGTTTTGAATGGGACGAATTGTTGTATATGTTTGGATCATTTGGGGGTATGTGTTGACTATGTTTTATTCGTCGTCCAAAACCTCCCTGTAGGAGGACAGGCCCGACTTGACTTCAACCCCCCATCCTGACCGTTTTTCTCACTTCCCAACCAGGTTAGACCCCCTGGCCGCCTCCAAGTCCAGTGCCTCCAACACTTTCCTTCTGGTCTGACTCGTGCCGTGCCGTGGTTCCTCCCCTCCCCCCCTCCTTCCCTCTGGTGCAGAGCTCTTTGGGGTGCCGAGGAGTCAGCCCAGTGCACTATGCCCACGCGTCCCTCTGGGATGCTCTGCTGTGTGCGAGCGACCCGGGGCTCGTCGTGGTCGAGACGACGGCGGGCTGCGCGATGGCGACGCGCGCCAGCACGAGCGGAGCAGGAGGAGACACGGCCGCGCAGGAAGGAGGAGGGAGGAGGGAGCCCCGCTCGGACGCTGCACGTCTTCCTGGGCGGCGCTGGTCCACATCCGATCTGAGACCAGGAGTGGAGTCGTAGCCAAGGGGGCTCCAGAGGAGGCCCGGACACCCGACGTCTTCAGTTTCTCAGTGCGGAGTCTCGGGAAGTTCCTACCCTATCCCCAGGGCCGGCTTTCCAGCCCGAGTCGTCTTTTGGCGGCCCTGGCGCCTTGTGAGGACCCCGGGAGGCCGAGAATGACGGAGACGCATCCCGTCGTGCTTCTGTGACGGCGCGAGGAGGGCAAGGAACGAGGAAGAGGGGAGGAGAGACAGGGCCCCCCGCCACCGAGAATCCATGGGGAGGGGGGATGGGCCAATCCCTGGGCGGTGGTATGCCCGCGCGTCACCCAATCCAGGACGACGCTCAGACGTGCAACCGTTCAGGGATCGGCTCCCGCCCCCGATGCGTTCTCGATGGCGGGGGTCGCTGTTCCTCGAGATCCGACGTTACGAACAAAACATACAACACCGCAGCAAAAACACGACTGGAGCCCCAGGCCCCAGCCTTCTGCCGCATGCTTTCAGCGGGGTCGATCCGTGATGGTCTCGGGGCCCGGAGCCAGGCGAACACGCCCAGCGTCAACAGCTGCAGCGCCCGGATCTCAGGGCTCCTCCCCTGACCGCTGGCGGCAGGGCCCTCGGCCGGGAGGGCGGCCGCCCGTCCCCGCGCCCCTTGCGGGCAAGGTTTGCATTCATATCCACAGCGTCTTGGATTTTCTGGGAAGGGGCGCCACACGGCCGAGGTGCGGCGGATGGTCATTCACACCTTGCCCGACCCCCCCCCTCGAGGAGGAGGAGGAGGAGGAGGAGGAGGAGGAAGAGGAAGAGGAGGAGGAGGAGGAGGAGGAGGAGGAGGAGGAGGAGGAGGAGGAGGAGGAGGAGGAGGAGGAGGAGCCCCCCCCCCCCGCGAGGTGAGGAAGCTGCACGCAGCGGGCGCGGCGCTCCAGGACCTCCGCGCCCTCTCCGAGGGGAAGCGGGCGCCCCCCCCCGGCCGCCCAGCCGCTCCGCGCGGGGCCTCGAGGAGAGGGGAGGGGCGTGGCGTTAATCGGGCCGAACGAAAGGGGGGGATAGGGAAAGGGGAGGGGTACGAAATCTGTTGCATGCAGCTGGTTTCAACCCCATCGAGGGGCCCATTCCTCGATACATGGCCGCCTCCGGCGCCGGGAGGCGCCTGGCAAGTCAGCTACGTGTTGATTCTCACCCCCCCCCTTTGCTATTCCCCCTGTTCGCCCGGCCCGAGAGGAGAGGGGAGGGGCGTGACGTTAAGTCGGGCCTGTCCTGTCCCTCTACGGGGGGAACCTTTACAAAAAATATAAAAAATAGTCTCGGGACTTTTTTGGGACTATTCTTGACCATTTTCGAAGATTTGTTCAGTATTGATTACTTTTCATCCAAAATCCGCCTGCAGGGGGACACGCCCGACTAAAATTTGGCGCTGAGGGCCGCGTTTCAGTGCGATCGAAACGGTACGGAAAGTGCGGGTACGAAGACCAGCAGCAGTTCCTGTCCATTCTGGATCGCAGTCGGCGTCGCCACGGCCGTGGTCCATTTGAGACCAAGTTCGCTTGCGCAACAGAAGCCGCTGTCGATTTGGACAACCTTTGTTGCTTGGCATCGCACCCGTTCTTCCGTGGCCACTGCGGGCGTCCACAGTGTTCGTTGCTCTCCAGTGTAGCGCGAGGTGAACGCATGGGCAGGATGTTAACGACATTCTTGCCGCACTGCCCGCGTCTGGTGCAGTGCACTTGACTTGACTCGTCCTGGAGGTTTCGTTGGCTCCTTCGGGAAGTGACGTTTTCCTCGGCTCCAGGGGGTTCTCCCTCCTCGGAGTGCGCTCTGACCACTTCGCCTCGCCAGGAGCGTTCCGCGGGTGGACGGAGGATCGTCCCAGACGGCAGTTGCTGGGCACTTGGGCTATGACTGGGGAGCCAGCCCTCCTGGCGCCACGGAAAAATTGCGACGGGCGTTTTCTTTACATCTGATGTTTTCGTGGCAGTTTGGCCGTAACGCGCGATATGCCCTCCCCCGTCCTCCTCCCTGTATGGTTAAGTCGGGCCTGTCCCTCTGCAGGAGGAAACTTCAAAAATGGCAAAAAATAGTCAGGGGACGATGTTTTGCGTATTATTTGTATGTTTTGAATATTTGTTAAGGTATGTTTGATTTTTCGTCGAAAGCGCCCCTGTAGGGGAACATGCCCGACCTAACTGTATGGTGACGCCCGCCCCCTCTGCCCCTGCAGAGCGCCCCTGGCGTTGCGCCACGCCCCGCGCATAGCGTGCCCATGGCACTGCCGCAGCCCGCGCTATGTGCGCAGAGCTTCTCAGCAAGGTGTGGTCGCATCGCTTGCGCGCGCCGCTGCTTCGCATTAACTCGGGCCTGTCCCTCTACAGGAGGAATATTCAAACATATTTAAAAAAAAAATCGTCTGGGGGGGATTTCTTGAGTATTCCTGTGCATGTTCTGAATCAGGTTTTGAGTCCTGCTTATTTTTGTTCGTCCAGAATCGGCCTGTAGCTTCGCATCAGCGATTATAGATTGGCGCTCGCAGGCACTCTGGTGCTCACAGGCACGGTTCAGTGCTCTCGGATTTTATTGTTGGTGCTCGGACACTGAGCAGACACGCGGGGCGCCGACGTGCGTCGGGCTGACGGGAAGCCCGTGGACTGTTAGTCGATTGCGCTTCCGGTGTCTGTTCGTGCCCCGAGGCGAAGAACACAGAGGAGAGACCATGATCGCAGGCCTACACCTTAGGCGATGCTTAAGAAAACTTAAGTTTTCGGCCAGAGTCTCGATTATTCTTAATGTTTCAATGTAAATCTTGAGATTTTAACGGAAACGTTGGGTTTTTATTCAAGTTCTGAGACTATGAATTTCTTAACCCATGATTTCTTAAGCATTTCGCAGGGTGTAGAGGTTGACACCAACACCAACATCGGCCGTGTGCCTCCACCCAGGGAAGAAGATCCTGATCTCGGTGATGGTGAGAGTGTGCTGGCGTCCGAAGTGACCCAAACATTACCACCAACGTTGAAATCTAGGATCATCTTCCCCCTGTGGAGGCAACCCCTGTGTTCTTGTGGTGCCCATTTCCAGGCCTCCAGGATGAGGAAGGGATGGAGACTGGCGAGGAGAAAAGAGGAGGACGACGATGCTGGAGGCTGTCGTCATCGTCGTAGTCGTCGTCGTCGTCGCCGCCGTCGTCGCACAGGCGTCGTCGTCGTCGCCTAGTCCCAGTCTTAGTCGTCGTCCATCGACGTCGCCCACTTGTAGTCGTCCTCCGTTGTCGTCGACGTTGTCCGTCGTCGTCGTTTTTTGCCCAGTTGTCGCCACATCGCCGTCCAGTCATTGTCGTCGCCCAGTCGTCGTTTTCGTCGTCGTCGTTGTCGTCGTCGTCGTCGTTGTCGTCGTCGTCGTCGCCGTCGTCGTCGTCTGCGTCTGCTTTGATGTCGTCGTGCTGTCGTCGTGGGTGTCGTCCAGTCGCGCAGTCGTCTTCGTCGTCGTCGTCGTCTTCGTCGTCGTTATGGCCGCCGTTGCCGTCTCTTCTAGTCGTCATCGTCGTCGTCGTCTTCGTCGTCGTCTTCGTCCAGTCGTCTTCGTCCAGTCGTCGTTGTCGTCGTTGTTGTTGTCGTTGTAGTCTGCGTCGTGGTTATCAGCGTCATCGTCGTTTTCGTGCAGTCGTCTTCGTTGTCGCCGGCGCCGTCGTCGCCGCAAGGCCAAGGTGCGCGCGAGCGCTCTGGTTGCGCCTAGGCCCAGTGCTGGGGGGCCGAGGTACGCTCGAGCGCTCTGGTGGTGCCAGGGCCCGTTGCAGGGGGGCGTCGCGTTATGCCCCGCCCATAATGCGCACATTCGCCATGATTAAGTCATGTCGCTGCTGTCTTTCCGACCTCTGGGGGCTGTTTTCAGGCCCGGGACCATCAGCACAGGACTCGGGATGACAAGTTGGTACCGGTGAAGAGGTCTACAGACCTCAGGGGGCCCACGTGGTGAACAAAGAACACGTTGTCGGAGGTCTGGGGAGAGGGAAGAGCGGAAGGGGAATGGCGGAAGGGGGGAAGAGGAGGAGGACGACGAGGAGGAGGAGGATCAGGCGATCGCAAACATGGATCAAGGGGGCGTGGATTGGCGACGAGTCTCTTTTCCACGGGAAACCGCGGATTTCCGCCGCCGAACGAGGCGGCATTAGCCGTACTTTGAAGAGAGTACCTCCCCCGATCCATGGATTTGGCGACCGCGCGCCAAATCCATGATTCGCTAATCCATGTTTGCGCGCCCCAGAGACGAGGACGAGGAGGTTGAGGAGGAGGAGGAGGAGGAGGAGGAGGAGAAGGGGGAGGAGGAGAAGGAGGAGGAGGAGGAGGGCCAGTGCAAACCCAAGAGTCATCAACGATGTTGGAATAAGCCCTCACTCCAATCTCCCGCTTCATAGGCCCCTACAACGGTTCATTTCCACAGAGGGAACTGCCTCGTTGGAAGACAACCGTTGAAGACCCTGAAACATGCCAAATTATTGTTCTGGGGATTTCAACGCCACGGATCAACCTGACTGTTGCGTCCTGACGATCTTGGGTAGTTCCATAATCCCATTCCTGGGATGACAACACCGCGAATCAATGTAATTGTTGCACCCTCAGAATCCTGAATCCTTCAAACACATAATTTCTGGTGCGCTGATCATGGGAATCCGTGAAACTCTTGCAAATGTTTTAAACGAACGTGCGCGCCGCTAGGCGAGAGCCACACTTTGAAAAGGAACTGCCCTCAATCTGTGAAACTTTTGCAAATGTTCAAAACGAATGCGCGCAGCGCTAATACGAGAGCCACATTTTGAAAACGGTTTTTGCATTTTGTTTAAACGAATGTGCGCGGCGCTAAGGCAAGAGCTACATGTTCAAAAGGAACCGCCCTAAATCTGTGAAACTCATGCAAAAGTTTAAAACGAATGCACGCGGCGCTAAGGCGAGAGCCACATTTTGAAAACCATCCGCCCTCCATCTGCGAAACTGTTGTCAATGTTTGAGCTTCAGGGTCACAACAGTCTCAGGCAAAACGCCGGGCCCAACCTAAGAACTTGCCTCCAGGTGCGACAGGGACACTTTGTTATAAGGGAAAGGAATGGAGGAGAAGGAGGAGGAGGAGCAACAGCAGCAGGAGCGAGTGAGGAGGACGGGAGGCGGAGGGGTGGGGAATAAGGTTGAAAGAAGCGTGAATCTCACTAATTACCTACCCGCGGGAAGGAACGGAGGGGACGGGGGGTGCATTCCGGAGAGCTCCGCACACTTGCGGGGACACAGAGATGCGCGCAGTCAGTCTGTCTCCGGAGCGGGCTCCAATGCTCCTCGTGGTCCTTCTCTGTGTTTCTCCACGCCTCCCAAATGGGGCCAGAGTACGGTCAGGAATTGCTTTATCGTGTCGCGCCGCTGATTCTGGCCCACCACGCTTCGGCGCGCTTTGCGAAGCGAGAGCGCTCGCACCGCCCAACCCTGGACGTCGGGACACGCGCCCTGCGCTACACTACAGGACCACCCCCCTGAACTACAGAGGCCCCCCCGCACTACACATGGCCCCCACCTGGACTACAAGGGGCGCCCCCCCGGACTACCAGGGCTCCCCCCCAGATTACAGGGCTCCCCGCCCGGACTACGGGGGTCCCCCCCCCCCAGACCAGGGCCCCAGTCTACGGGGCCTCCCAAAGCTATTGAGGTACTCAGAGGAAACGCTTCCCGAATTCCTCGGGCGTCAACGTCCAGGGCCTTTCCCAGCCTCCCGCCCCGCGGAGCGGAGCAACACGCTGTCCGCTCGCAGGGCGTAGCGTGTCGCCTGGGCCGCCGCCGCGACACTCCAAGCAGAAGTTCCCGACCGCAGATGGGTTCGGAGGAGAGCACCGCGTCGCCGATGCGTCGGCGATGAGGCTCGATCAAGAGCCCGATGTGCTCCACCGCGGCGTCGCCAATGTATTGTGGGCGTCGGCGAGGCGTCGGCGAGGCGGCGCGATCCTCCTCCTCCTCCTCCTCCTCCTCCTCCTCCTCCTCCTCCTGCTCCTCCTCCTTCCCCTCCTCCTCCTCCTCCTCCTGCTCTGGCCCCATCTGGGAGGCCTCCAGTTCCCGGGCATGTGCCGGAGCAGGTGCCGAGCCGGAGGAGGAATGGTGTGGGCAGCACGGCCAGAGACTTCCGATCGTTCGGGGTGTGGGGCCCCGAGAGTGAGCCTCCTCCTCCTCCTCCTCCTCCTCCTCCTCCCTCCTCCCCCTTCCCTCCTCCTCCTCCTCCTCCTCCTCCTCCTCCTCCTGATTCCGAGCACGCGTTGCACAAATGTTCGTATCACGCGGCCGGTCACGCGAATCGAGGGGCCGTGTTCACGTACATAGCTGGGCGCGTACGTCCTCTGTGGGCTCCCCAGAGAGTGAGCACGGATTCCTGACGCGAGAGACTGGAGGCTGGTCCCTGCGCGGGGCCCGGCTGCGCGAGGAGAGGGCCCGCGGCGGCCCGCCTGTGAAGCCAGCGGCGGTCGTTGCGCTGCTCCTCGGTCGGTCCCCGCGTGGGCCTGGGCGCAGCCGCGGGCCGAAGAGGGGACTCGCTCATGTCGCAGCCGATGTTTCCCCCCCCGTCCCCGAGTTCCGTCCGAAAGGCTTGGCCGCTCAGGAAAGGGGGTGGGGGGCTTCTGGGGTACACCCAGGAAGCTGTACGGACGCACTGGACGCCCCCCCCTCCAATCTTATTTATCGGTGGGTTGGGCCCACAGTGTTTGGTCCAGTCGAAAGCCCCCCAAAGTAATGGGGACGCCAGGGGGGAAACGACGAGGAAAGGGAGGTGGAGGAGGAGGGAGGAGGAGGAGGAGGAGGAGGAGGAGGAGGAGGAGGAGGAGGAGGAGGAGGACGAGGAGGAGGAGGAGGAGGAGGAGGAGGAGGAGGAGGAGGAGGAGAGGGAGGAGGAGGAGCCCCTCCCCCAGCATGGATCCAGGGCCTCTTGTGGCAGAGCTGCGAAGCTCTGCTCCCTCCCTCCGTCTCGTCTCGCCGCCGCCTCGTGCTCGGCGGGGGTCCTCGCGTCTGTGCGGTGCGCGCGCCCCGCGAAGACGGGGCGCTGAAGCCGCGGCCGTCGCCGCGCCTGCCCTGCTGCCGTTCGTGCTGCTGCTCCCTCCTCGTCCGCCCCGCCTCCCCTGCGGCTCACCTCGAGGGAGAAGCACGGTGGCCGCGACGGAGATGCCGCGGGGTCCTGTCGACGCCGATCTTGGTCAGGATCCACGACTGCCGCCGTCGACTCGCGAGGATGATCCACGCATCGACGGCGGCCAGGATGGACGATTGCCATGGTCGACGCCGGCGCTTCCGCGTTCAATCCTGGTCGTGATCATCGCTTTTCTTCCGTCCACCGTCCTCCCCCCTGCCGTAGGGCGTCTTTCTCTCGCGCGTGCAAAAACAATGTTTGCCAGCGTGGGCCCCAGGAAGTGCGATGCTGAATTGTGGACGTGTAGGATATGCAGTGTGGTTTGGATTCCCTGGCCGCGTTTCCCGTTGCATTGTTGCGCGCTGCATTGCTTGATGTTCATTGAGTTGTGATGCTCTGCCTTGCTGTGCGTTGCGTTGTCATGATTTTCGCAATTGATTTGCGTGACACTGCTTGTGTTGCATTGCTTGGGGGGGAATTCGCATAGCTCCGGCTTGCTTGTACATCCGCTAGTTTGCATTGCGCTGCATTGCTTTACGTAGTTTCCCAGGGCGTGTCTTCACATAGCTCCGAAATGAGCAGTTTGTTCATCGCGCCGTCTTTTTGTTCTGCATTGCTTTACTTTGCATAACTTCCTTGACGGGCCGACGCCATACCCTTGCATGGTCTCTCTTACTTTGTAGCGATTGTCATTCCAGCTGCTGTAGTATTTCGTTGTGAAGTGTTTCGTTGCATCGCATCGCGTTGTCCTGCGGTGCACTGCGCCGATCCTGCGGCAGCACGACCCTTGGTGCGTTGGTCACGCCCGTCCCGGCGTAAAACTCCAGCAACGCTGATCCTTGGGGCCCCCCAGCGGCGTGGTGCCCATACCGCGTGGTGGGTCTGCGGGGATTCGGGGTCACCGCACCGTTTTTGGACTCGGGTCGTCTTCCGAGGCTGTCCCCGGCGACGGGGGCCTGCGAGGTCCCAAGACCATGCGGTGACAGACCGCGCGGTGAGGTTGTTGGGGATTCCGAGGTCACCACGCGGCCCGTCACCACCACGGATTTAGGGCCCCGAAAGCTTGTCCGTTCGCTCGTGCGCCTGTCCTGGAAAGGATTCGAACGTTCTCGTGGCACCCCGCACGAGATAGAACGAGCCGCCGCGGTCCGCCACCCGATGGGCGCGCTCCAAAACCTCAGGCGTCATGTTTGTCCGCAGCGTGGACCCCAGAGGTCCCGACTCCCTCCCTCTAGGCCTCTCATATGGGATCCGAGTAGATGGGGTCTGAGGATCGCGCCGCATCGCCGATGCATCGCCGATGCATCCCCGATGCGGCTCAATGTGGAGCCCGATTTTCTCCACGCCGACGTCGCCAATGCATCGCCAACGCATCGGTGATGCATCGGCGATGCGGCGCGATCCTCCGACCCCATCTACTCGGACCCATCGAGGAGGCCTCTATTCCCGGCGTTTCATACGGAGCCGTGTTTTAGCTGCCCCTGGACTCGTTGAGGGTCCCCCCGAGGCCGCAAACTGCGAACAGGCTCCCGCAGTTTGTGGGGTCAAGAGCAGCATCAAGAAAACAAATATCAAAAACAACTTGTCATTGTTGAAGAAGCTCCAGGCGGTCGGACAAAGATGAAGGAGCACCACGCTGACGGGCTCCCGGCAGCGGGAGCAGCAGCGGGAGCAGCAGCAGCAGCAGCAGCAGCAGCAGGAAGAGGATCAGCAATGATGAAAATAACCAGGATATTCAGAACAAAATCGGATGAGGTCGGCGTCACTCCAATATACTTACCTATACGACCACCCTGCGGGTGATAAGGAGGTTGTGGGGTGGTGGGGGGAGGGGGGTGGTTCATGACGACAACTGTGATGAACGTGGCTCATGACGACAACTGTGATGAGCAACCATGATGAGCAACCGGCGGGCAACCGACGGGACAACGTGGGCTACCGCTTGACAAGGCCGGGGGGGGGGAAACATTTGTGTTGGCGGACCCCTAGCGACAGCAGAGTGAATTCCTCTCGCTGGCCCACGCAGCTTCGCCTCGCCCGCACGCACGGCACGAGCACGAACTCGAAACTCGATTTCCCGGTGGGGGGACTCCGTTACACTGCGATCTCACCCCCCAACCTCCGATACTATATGTGCGTCGCCCCCCCAGGCGCGACGCGCGCACCGAGAAATCTTATAGTACATGCGTCGTGGCGGGCGCTTTCTGGCCACACTGCTCGGGAAACGATACACTACCAGATTGGTATACTAGATGTTTTCGGGTCGGACGCGCGCCTCCAAGGAAGACATGTAGTATTTGTATGTTTCTGTGCGTCCCATGATCGGAGGGCACCAACTATACACCAACACCGATCCTGGCCCAGAATCACCCTGGGCCCAGGATCGGTGTATATGCCTTCTTGCGCAAGGCAGGAGGGCGTATACACCGATCCTGGGCCCAGGGTGATCCTGGCCAGGATCGGTGTTGGTGTATAGTTGGTGCCTTCCTAATGAGGTGGGGGCCAGCCAGTCCGACCCCCACCTCGTCCGCGATCGCGCGCCCCTGGCGAGGACCTCCTGCGCGCTCGCGCGACGCCCACCTCACCGCACGCCCCGATCAGAGGCCGGGTCAGCTTGCGGGGCCGCTTCGCCGTCCACGCCCGCCCGCGCTCTCTCGCGCCCGTGGCTAGGACGCGTACGAGGGCCTGCAGGCGGAGCTGCGACAGGCGGGCCTCCGGTCGTTCCGCCGACTCTTGGTTGTCCGGTGCTTCGGGTGTGTTCGAAGTCTCTCTGCCCGTGTCGCAGCCGCGCCTTGGCGCCGTGCACCTTCGGCACACCCGCGACGGACTGCGTGTTCTGAGCGGCTTCCGTCCCTTCGCTGTCGTCTCGTCTTCGCTTTCCCTGCCTGTGCCTCGCTTAGTTCCCGCCGTGTCCCGCCCGTAGCCCGACAGGCGCCTGCCCGTTTTCGATTTTTTTGCGCCCGCTGACTTAAAACGTGTATTCGGAATCTCGGTCTCCTAGATGAGGTCCGAGTGGATGGGATCGGAGGATCCCGACGCATCGCCAAGGCATATGCGATGCGGCACGATGTGGGCGCTGATTCTCTCCACGCTGACGTCGCCGATACACCACCGACGTCGCCGATGCATCGGTGATTTCTTCGTCAGTTTTTTGAGCTGGATCGATCTGTGAGGGTCCTGGGGCCCGAAGCTGGGCGAAGATGCCCGTTGCGCAGGACTTGCAGCGCCAGGGTCTGAGGGGGGGTCAGCCGATCCCCTCCGATCTCCCCCCGGCAGACCCCAGGTGGGAGAGCCACGCGGAGCCGACCCGTCATCCCGCCCTTCAGGTCGAACCGGTTTTGGGGGCTGCCGTGCGGCTGGCCGGGGTGCGAGACATGGCCTGGGGCACGGTGGGGCCTTTCTGCCCACAGTGCATGCCACCGGCGTCGTCGCAAGCCGGCATTCCGGCCACCAGCAATGGACCAATCGTGAGTGGGCCGCAGCCAGCTTGGGTCAGGGGCGGGGCTGGCCCCGGCCCGCACGTGCTGACGCTGACCTGGGTCATCGCGTCCCGTGCGCGGAGGGGGAGGCGGGGTCAGTGTCCGTGCGAGGATTGGCCGAACCTTCGAACTTGAGGAGGCGGGCGTTGTACATCCCGCCGTGTCCAGGGCGCTCGGTTGTCTCAGGCATTGTCTTGCGCCGACGTGCTCTGGTGTGAACGGCTCACTTGGGCGGCGCATGCGGTAGCTTGTCATACCCTCATTGCGCACGCGCGCCGGAGTTAACTATCATGCGTGATCGGCTTGGACGTTGCAGAAGTGCCAGGTGAACGTCCAGTTGGATGGTGCACAAATGAATGTCATCGGAGAGTGCACATGCAGCCAGGGTGCACAACAACAACAACAACAACAACAACAGCAGCAGCAACAACAACAACACTACCGAAGCCAATTTGCCTCAAGTTATTTTGGACCCAGCCAAAGTGGATCCGGCCTTCTCGGCTCATCATTGACCGTGGCCTTTTCCTGGGTGCAGCCGCCAGATGGAGCTGCGCGTCGGGGGCAAATTCCGACTAGGCCGCAAGATTGGTTCAGGCTCTTTCGGCGACGTGTACATTAGCACCAACGTGAACACAGGCGAGGAGGTCGCTATCAAGCTCGAGCCCATCAAATCTAGGCACCCGCAGCTGCTCTACGAGTCCAAGCTCTACAAGATCCTCGCAGGCGGCGTCGGCATCCCGGACGTCCACTGGTATGGCGTGGAAGGTGATTACAACGTCATGGTTATCGATTTGTTGGGCCCTTCCCTCGAGGATCTCTTCAATTTTTGCAACCGCAAGTTCAGCCTTAAGACAGTCCTCATGCTCGCCGATCAGATGATAAACCGCGTCGAGTTCGTCCACGCAAAGAATTTCATCAACCGCGACATTAAGCCAGACAATTTTCTCATTGGCCTGGGGAAGAAGGCCAACCAGGTTCATATGATCGACTTCGGGCTGGCCAAAAAGTACAGGGACCCGAAGACCCAGCAGCACATACCATACCGGGAGGGCAAGAATTTGACAGGCACTGCCCGGTACGCGAGTGTGAATACACATTTGGGGATCGAGCAGAGCCGACGCGACGACCTCGAGGCAATAGGCTATGTGCTCATGTACTTCAACCGTGGCAGCTTGCCGTGGCAAGGATTGAAAACCAATGGAAAAAAGGAGAGATACGAAAAGATCATGGAGAAGAAGATGTCGACACCGATCGAGGTACTGTGCAAACACTTTCCCGCTGATTTCATCACATACCTAAACTACTGCCGCAGCTTGCGCTTCGAAGATCGCCCAGACTACGCGTACTTGCGCCGCGTGCTGAAAGATTTGTTTTTCCGGGAGGGATACCAGTACGACTTTGTTTTCGATTGGACAATCCTCAGCTATCAGTCGAGCAAATTCGCGAAGCCAGCTGACGTAGGTGCTCCCAGAGCTGACAATGAAGCGGTCAATGGGGCAATGATGGAACAATCGGGCGAAGGGGGCAAAACAGAAGAAGCAGGTTACCCTAAAGCTTGACGATGAGTCTGAGCGTTGTTCCAGGGAGGTTGCCACGAGTGTTCAGAAAGGAATGGCCAATGAGTCTCATGCCGCCACGCCGTCCTTGAGATCTAAGCGGGGTGACTGTTTTTTCAATTGGCCCTGGGCCTTGTTGAGACCTTGTCCGTGCGGCTTCCAGCGACATCTTTTGTTTGAGGCAGTGCGCTTCCCCATAGCGGAACCATATTGCCAGGTTAAAGTTCGCAAGAGGTAGAGATAGCCATTTGCCCATCATAAGTTGGCCTAGCCAGGCCGAATCAGGCTCTATTCTGCGTACTGGTCGTTCGGATGTTTGGTTCTGGAATCTAGCTTCGTAGATGCTAGTCGTACCTGCAGAGAGTTTCTTTGAGCTGGCCCCTAACTTATTGGACACACAGTGCATCCGCAATCAGGCATGCGAGACCCCGCCGACATTGGACGTTTCACAATATTCTCAGCATCAATAGTTTCGGAGACGCCTACGGAGCACCACCCGCGCCCCCTGCCTTTTTGGAAGCGCCCATGCGGCTAAATGTTTGGCAAACGTCTGGCCAAGCTATTCGACTATGTTGTCCCCCAGCCGTTGCGGAACTCCTCGGGGGGACACCCTGGAGAGAAAGAGAAAGGAGGATGAGAGGGAGGAGAAGGAGGACGAGAAGGTGAAGACACCTCGTCGGGCCGTATTCTGGCCTCACAGGGGCTTCCCGGGATTCTTTTGGGAGCCTCTGAGGGGTCTCTCGAAGGCCTCCTGGGACCTCTTGAGGGTCGCTTGGGGGCATCTTGAGAGCTTCTCGGGGCCTCTCAGGGACCTCTTGGCCTTCGGAGGCCGTCTTGGGTGCCACTCTCGGCGCTTTGAGGCCGTCTTGGAGGTCAGTGGGGCCATCTTGGGGCCAATTTTGGGGGCCTCTTGGGCTGTCTTGGGGGCCTCTTGGGCCGTCTTGCGGGCCTCTTGGGGGCTTCTTGGGCTGTCTTGGGGCGATATTGGTGGCCTACGTGGTCGTCTTGGAGCCCCGGAAGCCAGAAAAGACGAGGATGCTAACATCTAGGCATCTTTTGGGCTTCCTGGAGGTCCCTTCTGGCGGCGTCATGGGGGCCTTGGGCCGTGAATCACCGCGGGGCCAGGGCTCGGCCACGCGATCGGCCTGTGCGCCCCCCAGCCACTGTGAGAGCCCTTCGGGGAACACGGGGGCGGGGAGGAGTAGGAATAGGACGAGGGAGGAAAGAAAACGGGAAAGGAGGAGAAGCATGAGGATGAGAAGGACTCTTGGGAGCTTTGGAGGTACTCTCGGCGCCTCCTGTGGGGCTCTTGGAGGTCTTAGGGACCTCCTTGGGCCTCCCTGGGGGCCTCTTGGGAGCCTGTGGAATCTCCTTGGGATGCTCGTCGGCCGTCTGACGGTGTCCCTGGCCTGTCTGACGGCGTCGGAAGCCGTCTTGGCGACCTCCCTCAAGCAGTGGCGAAGCGTCCTGGCTCGCCTATAGGCCTACCAACGAATGTTCTAAGAACCTCTTGTGGTTTCCACGGAATGTTCTTGGAACATTTCTGATTGGGACGGTCTTTGTTTAGCACGTCGGGTTCATGTTCTAAGAACATTCTTGTTGTTGTTCGAATATTTCGGGGTTCGAAGAACATTTCGTGGTAGGCCTATAGGAATGCCGGGACGGTCGGTCCCTGCTCAGTTCTCTGGACCGACTTGGGGTATTCTTGGGGCACTTCCCGGCCGTCTTGGAGGCCACCTTGGGCATCTTGCAAGCCTCTTGGGCCGCCTTCGGGCCCTCTGGGGGCCGTCTTCGCGGCCTCTTGGTCCATCATGGGGCCCTCTTGGAGACCTCCTGGGCGCTCTGGGGGCGATCGTGGGGGCCTCTTGGGTCTTCTAAAGCCAAGTGCACAATTCCTTCAACAACATTCCGAAAACCAAAGATTTGGCCCCTGCGGGCCTTCTTGGAGGCCGCCTTGAAGGCCTCTTGGGGCCCTCTTGGGCCGTCTTGAGCAATTTTGAAGCCGTCTTGGGTGCATCTTGGACCGTCTTGGAGACATCTTGCGGTCATGCTGAGCTCTCTCGAGGCTGTCTTGGGCGTCGCGTGGGCCATCTTAGCCATCTTGGCGGCCATCTTGGGGGGGGAGGCCACTGGGGAGCTACATTGGCGTGGCTTTTCGAGGGCTCGTTAGAAACGAACTCCAACACCCAGACATTCAGCACGCCGTGCCCCCATGTGGTAGGACCACAGGGGGCGGCGGATCGAAGACGCCTGCGGCGAATCACCGCCGCCCCCTGCTTAGGGGAGACGCCTCTGTGGCCAAACGTTCGGGCAACTTTTGGCCACGGCACGCTATTGGGCCATGCGTTCCCCCAGCCGTTGTGGAAGCCCTTCGGGGAGCACGTTGGGGAGGACGAGGAGGCTGAGGAGAGGGAGGAACGATGAGGATGAGGAGAAGGATGAGGATACCTGAGATTATTCGGTCGTTCTTGGGGCCTCCTGGTAGCTCCCTGGGGGCCTATTGGAGGCCTCTTGGGGGCCGCTATTGATTCCTTGGAGTTCTCTCTGGGCTTCGTGGCGCGTGGGGGCCTCTTTGGCCGTCTCACGGCGTTCCTGGGTCGTCTGACGCCGTCGGAAGCTGTCTTGCGAGCCTGCCTGTGCCATCTTTGGGCCCTCTTGGGGCGCGTCCCGCCACGCCACGCCACGCCACGCCATCCGCCGTGTCGGCCGCGAACGACCAGCGGGCCAGAAGGTGATGCTGCCATTCTGGAGCCTATGGATGCGGAAGGAGGGGCGCGGAAAGCAGAGGCGGAGAGGCCTGGGGCCCCAGCATTACTTCCGCAACGCCACCACGGAAGTACAGAGGACCCTACCAACAAAGTGGCGCCAAGAAGGTGGCCGCACCAATCTCCTCCTCCTCCTCCTCCTCCTCCTCCTCCTCCTCCTCCTCCTTCGTGGCGCAGGGCGCCTACTTAGTTAGTGCATTCCGACCGACCGACCCATTTGGCGCCACACGAGCAGATGACCCAGACATCGCAAAACAACTTTGGCATAGCTTGGCACACGCGCACCACCAAGCCTACCCCAGATGGTACAAGAATCGCCCCCCCTTAGGCTCGATGGGGGGGGGGCGCGTGCCGTCTGGGCGGGATTGGGGGGGATGGCAGTTTTGGAGCTCGAGCTCCTGGCCAGGTGGGAGGGAGATAATTTAGGACGACGACGCACGTTGAGGGGCGGGGGGGGGGGACGCTCCGTCGGAAGACTAGTCGCTCCCCCCCCCGGGTGATTGTGCTATAAGGAGTTGTCCCCACGCAGGACCAGACACCCCAGGTAACCACGGGCCCAGAACCAGCAACAGCACGCCCCCAGCGGCGAGGCTCGCTGGCGGCCTGGCCACTCGGAGAAACTGGTGGCCTTGCAGGTAGACAGGGCCCCCCCCCCCCCCCTTTGGTGCCGCCCCCAGACGGTCGGAGGAGGAGGATGAGGAGGAGCAGGAGGAGGAGGAGGAGGAGGAGGAGAGGAGGAGGAGGAGCAGGAGGAGGAGGAGGAGGGCAACGATACGGGGGGATAGGCATAGGGGGAGATGCATTGACCCCCAATCGCCCATTGATCGCTGGTAGGGGCCCGATAGCCCCAGCCTGCCCAGGAACGTGCGGATTCACAATCGGGAGCTTGTCGCCGATCAATCGGCGATTTTAGGTCGATGCAGCCCCTCCTATGCCAGTCCCCCCCGATCGTTGCCCCCCAGCAGTGTGGAAACACAGACACCGACAGCGCAGCCAAAGCATGTGCTTGCCGCCCATGGAAGGGCCGGAGATCATGGCATGCAGGCTTTCCTTGCCGCATCTCCTCATGAACACCCGCAAGGGTTGACACTAATGGCCATCTTCCAGTGTCGAAGGGTCAATTTTTGGATGCCCACCTCGCCCAACCATGGCCGTAACCATCGCCGAGCGACACGGCCACCCAGGGAGCGCACACCCCACTCGACCATGGCCAGAACCACCGTCGAGCGACATGCGCCCACCCATGTGGCGGTGCGCCCTGACCACAGGAGTCGCCGTCCTGCTTGTCCGTCCTCTCCCAGGGGACGGGTCCGAGGGCCCAGCCGCCCCCGAGAGGATGTCGGGCGAGGAGGGTCGTGCACTCCCGCCCCCGATCGCCGCACCGGGGACTCACCCTGGGCCTGCCTGCCTTCCGCGACTGAGGATGGAGGAGGAGGAGAAGGAGGAGGAGAAGGAGGAGGAGGAGGGGGAGGAGGAGGGGGAGGAGGAGATGGAGGAGGAGGAGGAGGAGGAGGAGGAGGGAAAGGATCCAAGCCCGAAGACAGAGACCCAACCCCGGAGGCACAGCGAGCCTGCCCCACCACCGGCTCGAGAGGGGGGCGGGGCGCCCCGTGGGTTGGCCGATCTCCCTGCCGCCACCGCTCCTCCTCCACCTCCTCCTCCTCCTCCTCCTCCCTCCCTCCCTCCTCCCTCCTCCCTCCCTCCTCCCTCCTCCTCCTCCTCCTCCTCCTCCTCCTCCTCCTCCTCCTCCTCCTCCTCCTCCTCCTCCTCCTCCTCCCACTCCTCCAGGCCCACACGTGCCGATGCAGCCCAGACCACACACACCCAATCCCAAAAGGGGGGGGGGCGAGCCACGTCAGGCCTGTAAACCCCAAGGGGGAGGAGAGGAGAGGAAGGGAGGAGGGGAGGAGAGGAGAGGAAGGGAGGAGGGGAGGAGGGGCAAGGAACGCGGCAGAAGGAAGGGGCACAGTCCAAACACGGCCTACCCCCCACCCCCGCGGGAGCATGGGCTGGGGCTGGGTGGTGAGGAGTAGGGACACGTTGCCCCAGGTGCGGCTGCGTTCAAGTAGAACAGGAAGCCTGTTTACTTTGCACCCGAGGTACATGGTGCCAATCCACTGGGCCAACCATCTCGGTGGTCGCGATGCCTACCTGCCCTGTCGCGGACTGGCACGCCTCGAACGTGGTGATATCTTGCTTACCCACGGCCACACGCGAGGTTTCCGCAGACTCAGTTGAAGCAATGCTGTACCCGCCACCGATCACGTAGGTCGCCGATGCAGCAGCCGCAGGGGGCGGCGACGGTGTGGGTGCGGCGGACGCCTGGGGAAGGCGGAGGGAGCTGACCAGCCTCTCGGGCGGTTCAGGGCTATTTTGCAGGCCATCTTGGGCGTCTGGGAGGCCTCTTGGGCCGCCTTGGGGCCCTTCGGGAGCCATCTTGGGAGCATCGTGGGCCGCCGTGGGGCCATCGTGGAGGCCTCTTTGGCGATCTTGGGGCAATTTGGGGGCCTCTTGAGCCGTAGGAAGTCCCTTGTGAAGCAAATGTAAAAGTCCTTCAACAAACAAACAAACTTAGGACAATCAATGATGCTGGCCTCTTCGGACCTGCCTGGGGGACCTCTTGGGGGCCTCTTCGGACGTCGTAGGGACCTCTTGCGCGCTTCTTGGGCAGTTGTGGGCTAACTTGGACCATCTTGGCGGTCTTGGAGGCATCCTGGGACCGTCTTGGGCTCTCTTGGGGCCATGTCGGCCGTCTTGGAGGCCGTCTTGGCCGTCTTGTAGGCCATCTCGGCCATCTCGGAGTCCATCTGGGGCCATCTTGGAGCGGGAACAGCATTGACCTGGAGATTCTCGGCGCTCTCCGGGCGGCCGAGGGGTTGGGCCGAATCCCCAGGGGGAGTTGCTCAGGCACCTAGCATTAAGTCGGGCCTGTCCCCCTACAGGAGGAATATTCAAAACCAGGCAGAACATTGCCTGGGGACGATTTCTTGAGTATTTTTCCCAACCATCCTGTGGTGTTGGGTCCTCGTTTTGAAGAGACGGTGCCCCGCGTTCCTCATTCCTCCTCCTTCCTCCTCCTCCCCTTCCTCCCCCCTCCTCCCCCTCCCACACCCATTCTGGCACACCCCTCACACGTTTCGTGGCCCCATAGGGAGCTCCACCGAAGGCCCCAGTGGCTGCGCCCGCATGCGGTTCCACCCCCCATTCTGGCACACCCCTCACACGTTTCGTGGCCCCATAGGGAGCTCCACCGAAGGCCCCAGTGGCTGCGCCCGCATGCGGTTCCACCCCCCATTCTGGCACACCCCTCACACGTTTCGTGGCCCCATAGGGAGCTCCACCGAAGGCCCCAGTGGCTGCGCCCGCATGCGGTTCCACCCCCCATTCTGGCACACCCCTCACACGTTTCGTGGCCCCATAGGGAGCTCCACCGAAGGCCCCAGTGGCTGCGCCCGCATGCGGTTCCACCCCCCATTCTGGCACACCCCTCACACGTTTCGTGGCCCCATAGGGAGCTCCACCGAAGGCCCCAGTGGCTGCGCCCGCATGCGGTTCCACCCCCCATTCTGGCACACCCCTCACACGTTTCGTGGCCCCATAGGGAGCTCCACCGAAGGCCCCAGTGGCTGCGCCCGCATGCGGTTCCACCCCCCATTTCGGCACACCCCTCACACGCTTCGTGGGTGGCTCCATGGGGAGCTCCACCGAACGCCCCAGTGGCTGCGCTCGCATGTGGTTCCCCCCCCATTTCGGCACACCCCTCACACGGTTCGTGGCCCCATAGGGAGCTCCACCGAAGGCCCCAGTGGCTGCGCTCGCATGCGGTTCCACCCCCTTTTTCGGCACGCCCTTCACACGTCTCGTGGCCCCATAGGGAGCTCCACCGAACGCCGCAGTGGCTGCGCTCGCATGCGGTTCCACCCCCCATTTCGGCACACCCCTCACACGTTTCGTGGCTCCATAGGGAGCTCCACCGAAGGCCCCAGTGGCTGCGCTGGCATGCGGTTCCACACCCCATTCTGGCACACCCCTCGCACGTTTCGTGGCCCCATAGGGGGCTCCACCAAAGGTCCCAGTGGCACTGCCCGCTTGCGTCCGCCACCACCCAGCACAGCCCTTGTTCCCTGCGCTTCACCCACCCAGAACAGCGCTTCGTAGCCCTATAGGGAGCTCCACCAAAGGTCCCAGCGGCACCGCCCGCATGCGTCCGCCACCACCCTGCGCAGCCCTTGCTCCCTGCCTGCGTTTCACCCACCCAGTACAGCGTTTCGTGGCCCCATAGGGAGCTCCACCGAAGGTCCCAGTGGCACCGCTCGCATGCGTCCGCCACCACGCAGCACAGCCCTTGCTGACCGCGTCTCACCCACCCAGTACGCGCTTCGTGGCCCCATAGGGAGCTCCACCGAAGGTCCCAGTGGCACCGCCCGCATGCGTCCGCCACCACCCAGCACAATTGCGGCATTCACAACTGCATATGGTTGGGTCCTTCGCCAGGCTAATTGACCGTTTTTGAATATTTTTAGAGTCTGTATTATTTCTCGTCGACAATCCCCCTGTAGAGGGACAGGCACGACCTAAACCTGGCACGCCGTGCACCCCGGTGGCAAGCCAACAGGGCGGGCGGCGGATATGTAGTGGCCTTTGGCCCACCCCAGCCACCGCGCCTGCGTTAGCATAATTTGTATGCTTGAATGGTCTCTCTCGGATGCCTCTTGGAGGCTGTTTTGGCTGCCGTGGGGCTTCTCGGGGGCCTCCCGACACCCCATTTCCACCCGCACGACCTTCGGGTCACGGTCGCGCCGCGCCGAGGCAGTTGAAGGCGAAACCGTCCTCAGGGTATCCCGCTCTCCCTCATTGTGTCTGTTCCGCCCTCGGCAAAACAGGTCCGGGAGCGGCGGGCGGCTCGGCTAAGCACGAGCGCCCTTACCTTCCACATCCCCGGAAGGGGATGTGGACGCATAGTCATTATCTGAAGGGCTCTGCCCTCTGCCGCCCGCCCCCCGCCCGCAGATTGCTTGTATGGCCACGCCTGGTTCACAGGTTGGCTGGTTGGTTTTCTTGTCGTTTGGCTGGCTGGCAATTCGGCTGATTGTCTTGTGGTCTAGATTGATAGTTGGCAGTTGCTTTGGGCGGTTTGCCAGCTGGCTGTTTGCGCAAGTCTTCAGTACTTACGGGGGGACTGAGAGATGGTTGCCTCGGGAGCGAGCTTCCACCGAATGTTACGAGGGTTCGAGGCTTCGGGAACACGCATCCCTACAGTCATTTGCGAGGGCTCGTGGCCTCGGGCCCCGAGCAAGATTCTCAGGAAGCAAGGGGGGGCGAACAGCGCCCCCCCTGACACTCAGAAACCAGGCGAAGGCTGGCAAACCCGTGCTACAACGGAGGTCCGGATATTTTTCTTCCGGGAAGCAGCTTGTTTACTACCCAGTGCGCTGAGCTTAATTCCGGGAATTTGTTTTTTTGTGTCTTCGGGAAGACCGTTTTAGCAGCCACGGATTTGCCAGCCCTCGCCCAGCTTCCGAGACGCGTATCCCAATTCAAAACATCGCAGGCTCGCTGCTCTGGAGATGGGTGGCGCTTCTGGGCGCGGGTGGGTTCGTGGCCTCGGCAGCGCCGGCGCGTGGTAATTTATCTGGGATGGGTAATTCGAAGGCGCAAACCTGTCTCAACTTATTGTCAAGTCGGGCACGTCCCTCTACAGGAGGAGTATTTCAAAATAGTCCAGAAATAGTCAGGGGGCGATCTTTTGAGCGTGTTGTGATCATGTTGGGATATGTTGTTTTTTGTGTGATTTTTCGCCCAAAATCCCCCCGTAGGGGGACACGCCCGACCTAAATTTACTGTGGGAAGAGGCCTCGGTAGCGCGAATCAAGCGTAATGTGCCAAGGATTGTGGTTTGGGGAGCGCTTGCATCGCGCAATTTTCCAGAGATCGCGGCTCTGGGAGTGCCAAGGTAGTTTACTGAGGGTTGTAGCTTCGCGTTGCAAGTTACGGGATTGCGTCTGCGGGAGCGCGAATACGGCGTAGTGTATGAGGAAATGCATATATAATGTATACTTACAACATGGGACCAGTAATTGATCCAGGGTCTATGAACACCTCCGCCTCGCAGCTTGGTGGCCCAAAATATATCCAGCAAATAAAAGGCAGCCTGGCTATGCGTGGCGTCATTTTGCCAGCCTGTCTCGGAAGCCAGCGCCATGAGTTGCGCTAAGTTGCCGATGCGGCGTGCTCGAGAAAGCGTCTTGAGGTTTCGACTTCTCGGGTCCCATAGCAGCGGATGTGTGCACTACCTCACCCTTGAGCGTGTGCGAGACACCGCTAGCGACAGCAGGACTCGGTTGGCAATCCGCACAGAGACGTCGTGCTGCCGTGGAGGCGTGAGCCGAAGCGGGTGCCCATGCCACATTCGCTCAGTCTCCGAGTTTTTCCCAGCGCAACTGTTTGAAGCGCAGTTTGCGAAGGGGAATGGAGACGGTGCGGCAGTTCAGCTGACATGTGGCACGCCCCTTTGCAGGCGTTGTGCCAGGGTTCCGGCGTTGGTAGGGTGACTGCAGACCAGCTGGAACCGAATAATCAAGAGAACAAGAGACGCGTTAGAGGGAATGGCCCAATTTTATTTCTCGTGGCGTCGCTCAGCTCATTCAGAAACGATGCCCAGGCGAGTCGTCGTGGTAGCCTCGTGGGGGTCTCTTGTAGCCACGGAGGAGCAGAGGGAAACGGATTGGAGGACTCTGGGAACCATGGTTGTGTCTTCTTGGGGCTTTCTTTGGGTCATCTTGGGGCTCTCTCGGGGGCCCTCGTGGAGCTCTTTCGGGGGGTCTTTGGTTCACTCGTGAAGCTCTTCGAGAGATCTTGGGGCTCTCTTAGGGGCGATCTTGGACCCCATGGGTGAAAGTGGGAGGAATGGGGGGTGAGGCAATCATGGCACCAGCCCGGAGGCAGAACAATTGTCTATTGAGGCCCCCAGGGGTGCTGTTGGGGACCTCCTTGGTGCGTCTTTCACCGTCTTGGGGCCCATCTGAACCTTGCTCTCTTGGGTCATTTTGATGCCATTTCGAGGCCTTGGAGGCTCATCTGATGCGAAGTGACGAAAAGGCAAATGTCACTGAACTGCTTGAGGTTTTGTTGCGATTGGAGTTTGGCGTCCTGGCCGGTTCCTCGGGGGGCTCCGGGGGCACTTGGGCCC